TTTCAACCCAAGCAATTCCTAAAGCTTAAAAAAAAAGCATTTTGTGCATGTTCCTTTTTACCATGGCCCATTGGTTTACTCTTCAAAATAGAAAAGGCGAGACAACGGGCCATTCAAGCAAAATGTTATGAATATAAATAACCTAAATCTGCTCTCCATCAGTCAGAGCAAAAAAATTTAATCAAGTGGAACAGGGACAAACTTCGATTTTTCCACCACACACAGTGAGAAAAATGGAGAGAGATAAAACATTCACACAAACTATATGTTCATCTTTTTTTTTCTATACTAAGCACAGCTACTGCAACAAAAGACGGATGTATTTCAAGGTTTTTTGCAGATGTAAACCATCTGTGCCAATAAATGTGGGGAGCATCATGTATCGCACATAAAGTTTTTCTACATACGTCACATCTGGGAGAAACTTCTGACTTTAAGTTGCACATTTATTCAAAGCTACAGCTCCACTCTGTGGTTAACCTCCTGGTAATGTTAGCTTTATTCTGTTAAGCTTTTGTTTATCCATTTGCAGCCTTTGTGTTTTGCTACCTTTGGGTCTTAATTGAGTTTGTTCACAGCGGGATAAAGGAACATTTGTGAACAAAATCAAAAAGTTGTTATATTTGTGTAGATTTTGTTTTTTTTTTCTCTCCTTAACCTGTAACTCTGCATTAGTAGCTAGCATTTTTTTTTATTTACTTTTAAAATTTGTTATTCACTAGCTACCATCTAAAATTTGCCAAAAGAAAAACAGAGTCAAAAACATACTCGGTTAGAATATACGTTGCAATTTCTCACCATTCAGGTTTCGCAGCATTCTTCCATCCCAAATAGCTTTGCCGCAACGCTAATATTTGCCTGCTGCTGCAGTGAAGTGAAGACGATTAAATGAAGCATTTCTGCAATGTTTAAACTGAAATATCACAAAAGTCAAAATTGGATTTGTGAAAACTATGCACTGGAAAGTCCATAAACAAGTCAAGATGCCCAACAAATATAATCCACAGCAGCAAAATAGCTACACGCTACGAGGCGGATCCGTTAGTTTGAAGGTTAAAATCTCGTGTGAGCAAAGTCTTAGGAAGTGCAGCATGGCTTTCCTTCCTCCTGAAGAGTGAATCCCATTTAGTCTGAAGGAATCGTAAAGCAGCTCAAGCCGCCATAAAAAGCCATTAAGATGTGTGGATGTGAGGACTTGAAAAGGATTCCTGCTCTCTGGGAAAAAAAAAAAAAAAAAAAAAAAAAGGCCAGTGTGTGTTTGCTCTGCTCTGTGAGGGTCAAACTGAACTGCCCTGCAGACCAGGAAGCACTTCATTTTTACTGCCCCCACTTCCACTGGGTCTAACATTGATCTGGGATTTGGATAAAGTTTAACAAAATCTAAACTGTGGCAAGGCTTAAAACGTGGCCTAAGACCTGATTTTATATAAAAACTCTACTTCAAAAATGTGAGGCCGTTATTATTTCATTCTCGTTTCATCTAGTATTGGAAAAAAAATCTGAAACATTTAATGCAGAGACACTCTAAGTAGTACTAATTAATAGCAATAAAATGTCTACTTTAGTCATAACGTGAATGAATAATGTAACATTTCAATTGGTCGTTTATGGATGCTGGAAGAAACGAAACTTTTAAAGGAAGATGCTTATCCCTCCATCCAAGCAGTCAGTCAAACGTTAACATATTTATAAAAAAGAATACAGTAAAGAGCAAATTTTGTTTGTGAGATTGTTTTCACTGTAATTAGCTTTCACCCAATAACTACTACTACACAAAATAAAGATCAAAAAGACTTTATGTGATCACAAAAATATGTTTGCAGAAAGAATATATTATTTTGGATAACAACCAGCACAAAGAGCTCTACTTTCTTTGCCTCAATTATTTTGGAAATGATCAGCAGGGAAACGACTAAAATCTCTGAAAAGATGCAATCGTGAAATTTATCTGATTTATCAGATCATGTAGGGAAAAATTATAGTCTTTTAGTACGACAACATATTTACATTTTCTATTAAGGGGTTATTGACTATGCAACAAGAATGTTAAAAAATACTTTGTTGTATTTTTCCACCTAAAAACAACACCATCACACAGTAAGTTTGTGTCATAAACAAACAAATGAGTTAGTCAATTAATTTGAAAAAATGCAATGAATCAAGAACGGAAATGATTCTACAAGTTTTTAATGATGTTAAAACGTTTTAGAATATCTCACCTGCACTTTCTGAGTTTCTGATAATGAAATAATAGAGCAAATAATATTCATAATGCAATAAGCTAATAAAGAAAATAACTAAGCACTGCTGCACTGACATATAAACATTCACAACTTGTCAACATTTTTACTTTAGAAAAAAATGGTAACACTTCACTATCAAACTACAGAAGCAAATACTTAAGATCAGTAAATAATTTAGATAGTCTGACTTGATAAAACGATTTCTTGCTGGCACAATTTCATGTCTAGACTTTTTTAAGAAATTGTTAGTTGCTGTTTTGTCTACTTGTTTTTCCGAATATCTTTTTTTTTTCTTAAACGACACAAAAAAAGTAAAAGAAACTTGGATGTAAAATCCTCTGAAAGAACCCCGTTGTTGGACCCTGTCGGTGTTGACTCTGACTGACGGGGAGCCTGAAGGCTCATGTTACTGCTGCTAGGATCCTGGAGATGGGTGTGAGCCGCTGCATCACATCACATTAAACAACTTATGAAGCCCCACTAGTTCACATTTGGACTATTTAAACGCCAATTTCGCCGTGAATCGCACCATAAAATGTTGAGGTAATTGCACGCCCTGCGTTATTGATCAGAGCAAACGTCTAATTAATTTTTAACTAGCTGGGAATAGCGAAAAGCCGAAGAAAGCGTGGCTCAAAATAAAGGTGAAGAAAAGTCTGTGACGCATTTTCATTTGGTTTACGGGCACATTTAGTGGGCGGGACGGTGCTCATTACACAGGCTACACACTGCTAACGTTACATTTCATCTACAGCGTGGTTCTTGATGCTGCGGGAGATTTTTTTTTTCCCCCTCTTAGTTTTAGTGCAAACCTCTGCAGGAAGCCAGCAATCAAAAAAAGCGAAGGGATATCTGCAGAGTTCAGAGTAGCTACAGTAAGCGCCAAGCCCCCCTTTTCTCTCTCTCTCTCTCTCTCTCCGTCCGTCCGTCTGCACAGAATAGCTACAGTATAAACAATCTATCAGTGCGCGGAGATAAGGAGCAGGGAAAGGCGAGCAGCCGCGAAAAGAACCCGGGCAGAGACGCGTCACCTGCGGCCCGTGAGACTATTTATGAGATAGCAGCGGTACAAACCGTGAGAGCGGGCTGTTTTGATGAGAGACTCCTCACTTTCCATCAAATGCAAGCCGCCATATTCGCTGCAGCTCCGCGCATGTCCACAACGCAGTGCTGTAATTCATCTTTTCCACCGGAGCTCCGGAGGAAAAAAAAAAAAAACAGCGGTCACAGGAGGGGAATTAATAATTAGTCGCTCTAGTTGGACAGAAATGTCCTCATGTTTCCGTTTCATAACAGACGGTGGGGGTCACATGCAAACGAATGACATTCATGTTTTTAATCGCTCTCTGATTTACGTGCAGAGACAGTTAAAGCATAAATCCTGATGGTAATAAACAGCAGCTTGGACATTAATGACCAATTTACCAGACGGCAGAGAACCCAATTTTTTTCAGCTAAATTATTGTCTGATCTAAAAAGAAATAATAATAATAATAAAAAATAACCTTCAATCAAATCAAACAATTTATGATTATATGAAATACGTAATTATGTTTTTTTTTATTTCGCTGTGCTTTCTTTTGTGCACAATGACAATAAAATGAATTCTGATTCTGTATTCAAGTTATTATTTAAACTGTTAATGTGTATTTAAGCAGCCATCGGGCATTTTTACCTACAAATAGTCATGGTGTTATTAGTTACCTTGGGCATACAATTGACATAACAATTTTGGTCTTTCTCAGTCTTATATATTCTATATCTATGTTCTTGTCCATGTTGTCATTTGAAGTTAAATAAAAGTGCATTCTGAATGCATTGTTCTTTTATTCATAGTCAAATACATGTTCAACACATTCAAATTTATGTGCGGCTTTAAGTGTTAGTGAGAAAGTTTGCTTGTGGATCTGCTCTTCATCGTGAATTCTCCACAGAAGGGAGCCAAAGGCAAGGTGCCATCATAAATGTTCTAACTATATAATAAAAGTTCATATGGATTTTGATTATCTTTTTGTGTCAGTCATATTTAAAAATGTCTTATATTTGCAAAGTTGAACTCTTATATAAATTGTTCTGTTTATTTCTGCTCTTGCAGATGAAATTATGAGGCGAGTTTTGTGTTTGAGCATTCTAAAATATTACTTCCTGTTTTGTTTCAAACTTGCAAAATTACAAAAGTTAATTTATCAAAAAGGCAATAGTTATGTTTTGTTGTTTCAGTTAAAAAACTATTTACATCTTTTCTGTACTTTAACAAAAATCTTTGCATTTTGATATGATAATGTAATTGTAAATAAGAAGGACCGTTTTCACCTTCAATTTCAGCTAAATTTTGTTGCAGAGGTCAAATTGCATGGCTTTCAGAATAAGTTTTTTGTTTGTTTGTTTGTTTGCACTGCCATCCATCTGACATGAAGGTGCAGATTAAAAATACGTTTCCTGATTATGAAACAGGTCGAGACACTGTGGAATTCTGCTAACTCTTCTGATTCCTCAATTAGTGCAATCCTGAAGGGGAGGGGTAGGTGAGAGAGAAAGGAGCGAAGGCAGGAAGGAAGGAGATTGTTAATCAGTGGGTCTTGCAGACAGACCTGATTCTGTTGTTCTGCGACCAGAGAGGAAGGCGAGTAGCAACCAAAATACTTTCCATTCAACAGATGCTGCGCTGGATCTAGTCAAAGTTTTATCTGATCGCAGCTCGCGGTGGATGCAAGCGCACTGCTGGAACGCGCACGTTCCTATTGGCTCTCGGCTGCGTCGCTCACAGGAATGACGACTTTGCTGCTATAACCAGCTGATGCTGAGGCTACGAACGCGGAGCCTCCGAAGAACTGTTGACGGTACACTGACCCTTCCGTCATCGACGTTATGTCTGCGGATCCAGGTCTTATCTGCCCCCAGAGCCGGAGTGGGCAGGACATTTGATCGTGTCACGACGCGCAGGCCCGTGGTTCTTTTTTCTCGCCCCTGTCGCTCCACAGGATGTTTCTTCACCTCCCCACATAATCGCTTTCCCAGGGAATGATGCTCTCTGCTTCCTCCACACACAGGCGACACATCGCATATGCAGGTAAACGTTGCTTTGGTCGGATCGCCAGTGCTTTTCGTTACCACCTGATTTATTTCAACCCTGTGCGCGCTGGAAGTGAATGTCATTCTTGTGGATTTGCGGGTTGCTCTACAGCCCTGTCGGTGTATATTGCTGTGCTGCACTGTGGTGAGCGTGCTCCGGCTGCTCTGTATGATGTATGCACTGGTTGCTGTGTAGGCTGAGAAACGCGTGGACAGCGATGGAATGGTGCTGCGCTCCGCTCCGCAGAGACGCAGTTCGGTGCAGAGAGAGAGAGAGCAGACCAGCATTAGCTACTATCCTTCCCCCCTCCCCACTCCGCCTCTCCCTCCTTTGCACATCACATTCACGCGCAAGCGCACACTCCTTCGTGCACGCGGACGCCCGAGCAAAGCTATTAATTTCACGCACACTCAAACTCACTTGTTCTTATTACATTTTTTTTTCTTTTTTTTTCCGAGCACATCACCTCGGTTTTTTTTTTTTTTTTTAATCTGTGTTTCTTTCGACTTTAACGGTTATTTCATTTAGTTTATCAAGAAAGCTCATTAAAACACGTCCTTGACCATTTTAGATAAATAAATATTCAGGTCTTCATGTATTTCAAGTTGCTCCAACTTGTCTGTTACCTCCCCCTCAGCACCATGTCCTCCACCGATGGCCTGCACACATCCACATCTCATTTCTTTTCCCTGGAAAGCCTAAGATGTGTGGATTGCACACTGCATAGGAAAACGCCCACACACGGGCACATGAGCCAAATCAACATTAAAGTGTTTTTTTTCTTCTTCTTTTTTTTTCCTTTTTGCTCTGTTGTTCTGCTGAATAAATCGAAATCTAGTTGAGCCAATTCAGGAAGAAGGTTTAATGGTTCTAGTTTAGAAAAATTAAAATGACCAAAGAACCATTTTAACAGTTGTTTTCTTTTCTCATCTCTGCTTTTTTGGACACACAGCATTATTGAAAAAAGTATTCCAACAGAACCTGGATCCATGATAGGATTCCCTCCCACTTAAACCAAAGACATCTGTATTAATATTTACTGTTAGACTCTCAGCTTAAATGTATTTGTCACATTTGTTTTGCAGTTTTGTCAGTGTTTATTTATGTTATGAAAACATACTATATTGCAAGAAATATTCACTCGACCACTCAGAGGCAATAGAAAATGCAAAGATGCAGAGAGCACCGGACTCGGGAGCAGTGAAGACATGTTATCTGGCAATGACTGACACGTTTCTGTTTCCTCCTTGCCAGGAGACCGCAATGGGTCAGATGTTCTCTCTTGAGAGGAAGAGGCTATGGTTTGGGGCTGGTTGTTATAAACTGGATTTGTTTGTCTAAACCTTCTGGATAGCCTTCCCAATGAGCTGAAACTGTAGTAGTAGTAGCAAAGGGTGCACCTATATCTGCTGAATCCCTTTGGTTTGGATAGACGATGCTTTCCATCCCTACGTCCAGCCATACAAGACTAGAAGCTCAAAAGTGTATACAATCTTTCCGAAATGCAGTTTGTTAATGTAGTGCAACTCAAAACAGATTTTTTTTTCTCAAAATAAATACACATTTTGCATTGTTTCATTGTTATTTGTGAGATGAGATCCCTTGTCCAACAGGAAACCGACTCCTTTCAAATCTAAATCTGAGTAGGTTATGTCAAATTTGGAGCTTAACTGTATATTTACAGTTTCACAACCTCTAAAACAGAGGTGCCAAATACTTTGAGATGTGTTCCTGCTTCTGAATCAGATAATCAAGTTATTAGCAGGACTCAGTGGATCTGGACTGCATTAATTAATCCAGCCATTTGATTCAGGTGTGGCTCAGATTGTAGTTTGTACCATCTGGAAGTTTAAAGTCCTTTGCATGAGTTGCCATGGAAAGTGCAGGGAAAACTGAGGTTTTCTCCAGTTGTATGGACTATAGAGTAGGTTAACATCCCCCCTCCCCTACCTGTTGCTGAGCACAGCTAGTCAGCTGGCTGATGGAAGTCTGCTACACTTTTCATTCACTTACAAGAAAGACAAATTATACATTGTTACCTAAGGATGTCTGCCCGATCTTGACCCTCACTCACAATCACATGTTTATTAAAGGGAGATAAAGTTATTGTTGATGCTCTGAGAGGCAGAATTTCAAATATTAAAGCAACGTTATGCATGCCAAGAACCCTTAAAGGGCTAACAATTGACTTTGAGATCCTGAATGTCTAAACTGAATAAAATGACGACGATCTGGTTTGGTGTTGAAAATATTTGAAGGTAGAGAACAGGCAGAGGAATTTGAGAATTTGAGGAGATTTGGCCAGGTTTTAGCAGCACTGTGGCCCTGTAATACCACTACTGTATGCACATGTTTTGGTATAAGTCTTAACATTTAATAAAAAATAATCCATATAAAAGAAATATCCAAAATATTTTGACATTCTTCCACACATAATTGGATGTTGGCATGTTGTAACATGACATACCAGCATCCTAAGGCGATTGTGGGTTTTCTGTTTCTAACGTAAAGCCGGGATCATTTGAAATCTTATTTGCAGGAGTTTTGTCATTGACATAAATATTTCCTTGTAACTATAAAGACCCACTGATAAGGATGATTGTATCATATACAAACAACGGGCCAAAATATGTCTTTAGCTTTTTCACCGAAACAAGTAAAACAGCAGGAGGCACAAAAATAAACTCTGTGCTGTTTCTGAAACCCCTATACATACATTCTTATGCAATTTTGATTAAAGAAAACTGTAATCTAATAGACCAGAACTTGTCTTTGTTTTGTGTTTTTTTTCCCCCCAAAATTTTTTTCTTATAATCTCTTTTGTGGCATTTAAGATTTTTGACATATTTATCTGCAGCTTCTAGATTCTGAGGAAATTGTTGATAATAGTGTCAGTGGAGCCCTTCTATTCATTTAGCATTTTAACAGCTTTTGTACTGATCCGTCAGCAATCCATTACACACTCATCTCTGTGATTTACCCTCAGGAAAACAAACACATCCTTTATTAGACCCAGTAAGTTTCATTCCAGCTGTGCTAGATCTCATCACAACACAAAGAAACGCTCTCATTGTAAACCGAGTAAAGAATGTGCTTCTTCTGTTCGATCAGATTTCCGTTCTCTTCTTTTTAAGGAGCATTCTTGCAGGTTTTTTTGGATTCATATTTCTGGGATTCCGTCCATGAATGTTTGCATAATCCAGTGTCCTTCACACAGTCTGTCTTGTCACAGAAACTTAGATTTACACTGCGGCTCTTTTGCCAAGTCCTGAAGTCGTGTGCTCTATCTAGAGGCTTGGTTTTTATGCTACTTGTGAAAGTAAAATCGTGCAAAGCATTTTCAATATGATGTCACTTCTGAATTATTTAAGTTTTTTAGTGTCGTGTAATCGATTGCTGTTGCATCTAATGATTAACCTTTGTTTTCTATCTGTCCATAGATATATCTTTGTTAAGATGTAGTGTGGACCATTATTTTTTTTCTTACCAAGTTAGACCATGCAAACTCATCCAAACTAAAAATCTGTAATTTTAAGCCCAGAAAAATGAAACTTAGTTAACTTTTTATTTACTTTGTTTAATAAATACAGTTGAAGAAATACAGTTTCTTCAACACTTTATTAATGGCGAAATAAAATCCACATTTAGGGTTTAGTAGGGTCTATGATGTACTGTGCTAATTTATAATTTATAGACTTTGCTTGGTTGCAAAACCTTTATAACTCATGTGAATATGGATTGTAAACAAGACTAAAATGTTAAAGTTACATTACAGCTAACAATTTGAGGCTAAAACTGAACTGAATGAATAAACCTATCTGAAGGTAAAATAAAAAAAAGCTAGGATATTACCATCTGAGGTTTCACAAACTTTTATATTTGAAACATTTTTAGCAAAATCTTCCAAAAAATCTCTCTCTTGCTATTTTGTTTTTTTGCAGATAGAAATGATTTTTGGTAATCCCAACTGATCTAAAACTTTAGATTTACTTTAGACTCATTGTCAGATATTAGCAATAATAAATCAAGATATCATTTTATAGTGTAGCTAAACATCTGGTTTGACTATTTAAGGAGAAAAATCTTAAGAACTGTGGTTAAAGAACTCAAAACTACATGTGGACTCAACTTTGCGTTTAGCAGGTCGTAGCATTAATGATGTTTTGACTTCTTACACCAATTTCTGACTATGAGGTTCTACTTTCCCCCTAACTCTCCAAAACATTTCTATTTTAGATATTCTGCACCGCAAATTAGAAATAATTCATGCATTAAGAAGTGAAACGAGTTTAATAATCCAACCCTCTAGAGAAACTGAATCAGGAGAAGACCTACTTTTAGAGTGCATTAGCCTTAACATCACTGCTACTCTGCGATCAGGAATCGTTGCATAAGAAAGGTGATATGAGGTAGAATATGTGTCAGAGTCACGCCTTTACTCTATGTGCCTCGTATTTTCATGTGCGTGGTTTACTCCACCGACTGTGCGAAGCATTATGAATTAGAGATTGGAGTGATCACCAGGCTAAGTATTCAAACACTTCTCTGTTTGTTTTCTCTTCCAGATTCCCCCATGTGGAGTTTTGGATGAAGGCACAGGAGCGACACAAAGATATGGAGTAAAAGGACATCTAGAAGAACTCCAGTCAGATATTTTAACACAAGGAAACTGACATTTAGAGGACGTTAAGTAGTGTAGTGTGTGCTGTGGGAAAAGCAGGGTCTGTGGAAAGAGGAGGAGTAAAGATGGCTTGTTGTCAGAGGCCTGCCACATTTCTCCGGGAGTCTGCAGCCGACCCGATCGGCTGCTGGTCCAAGCAGGAGTGTCCCTCTTAAAGTCTGAGCAGTGCATCATTTCACCTGGTGGAGGAGACCCCGCTCTCTGTGATGTGATGAATAAGTTTGAAGTCCTTGGCATTGTGGGAGAAGGTGGGTGGTTTCACACAGCAGATTAAATGGTGTTGTTAACCTCCAGCTCTAATGCTGATGATCTGCACCACTCGGGACGCTGGTGTGTCATGCTGCGTGTTTTTCATGAGAGTTTTAGTGTTTTTGCATTGTGCGGCAGGACTCTATTCATAACTTTTATCGTATATATGCTCCACATTTTGCGTCTGAGGAGCTTTATAGTTTTATAGCAGGCAGGCAGGCAGATTCTGAGCAGGTATTTATTTATTTATTATGCTGAGAAATATGCAGAAGCCAGTGGGATGTGCAGACATCAGAAGGAAAATGTTGTAGCTGTAGATGAAAATCATCTACAGCTTGTAGATGATAACAAAAAGTATTTTCCCCTTGCATCACTCAGAAACTGTCAGTGGGGTTTAACAGTAGCTCCTTATAGAGCTCAACTAAAAAAAAAAAAAAAAAAGCTTAAAATGCTTCTTTTACATTAATTTTGAGAAAATTTTGCCAATAAAATAGATTGAATGACTATAAACTACTTTCTTAATATCGGAGCATCCTAATATCCTAATCACTGAAAGACATACTAAATTAAAAGTTAAATAAAAAAATGTTCATTGTGATATTATGGTTCAACAATGAAAGCGACATTTATTTTAGGAATACTTGCAAAAAAAATTTCCTGAGTTGAACTTGATTCCTTTACCTATTCCTTCTGATTGCTTAAACTCTAATTGCATCTGCTGACCTAATTCTCTCCATGCAAAAGTTAACAGTTGTTTCCTAATTGCATTTTGCTTGCATCTTCTCAAATCTCTTCTCGTTTTGATACGAGGAGTCAAAAAAATCCACCACATCTCTTGCTGGTGCTCCACATAAGAAGTCCTCCAGCAGCCTACAGGGCATGTTCCACCCACTTCCAGCTTGGCAAGAAATGTTGAGTTTCACAGGCGCTACCTCAAACCGCACTTTAAAAAGCTATGCTCATGTCAAACATAGAAAAGAAAACGATATCTCAACATCGCTCTCTGGGATGTATTAAATTATGCTTGAGAAAATTACAAGTATTAGTAGTTAACAGACTGCAAGAGAAAGCGGGAGAAACAGATTAAAACTGTTTCATAAATGTATCATAACTCCTTTGAGTTTAACATCTGATGTGACCTGATTTTGTGGTAATATGCTAAAAAAAATAGTTTGTAGTAAATCACAAGACCACATTCTGTTTTTTATTATTATTTGGTTTCATGTTTCTTTCGATTTTGATTCATTTTGTGTTAAAATCCAATGTACAACAAGACAGATATTAATTTTTATTATAATATATTGTATATTGTTCTTTCAAACACAATGTGTGCTTTGAGTTGCTGGTTTGCTTCATGAACAGTGTTGCCAAGTTATAAGCAACTTTTGGCTTTTTTTTTTTTTTTTTTTTTTCCTTCACTAAAGTCGCTTGCAAGTTGAATGGGTTGCAGTATTTTGGGCTTGTGTTGCTTACTTGGGCCTGACCATTTTAATGAAGAAAAGATTATATCAGGCTCCCCACAATAAAGCAAAACACTAACGCTATGTAGTTTGCAGTGGTGTTGTGTTATACACAAGTTGTAAAACTTTTTTTTTTTAATCTTTTGGATTTGTGTGGTCACCAGTTTGTCTTCATGGAGCTGGTTGCTTGTTTCTTCTAGCAAGATCTACTGTTCTTGACCCACTTTGGCTGTTTGTTTTGAAACTTTACATCTGCAGTAAAACAGTCCAAACCATGATATAATCACCAGCATGATAAAAAAGAAACAGACATGCTGAAATTAGATGGGATTTTTTTTTTCTTTCTTTTGAAAGATGATTTGGCTTTTTTTCTCTTCAAGCAAAAAACATCTGTTCTGGCCTTCTGTGTTCATTCCAGGCATGACACCTTCACATGCACTCTGATGTGTACATGTAAGACTCAAGGGAAGGTTTTTGCTCACCACAGACCAAACTTGCTCTTCTGTTGGACTCGGGGTAGTTGTGTGTCAGCTTCACCGACTAAAGCAAGAGCAGCAACCTGGAGAGAGTCAGACGCTCCACCTAGTCATGAAAGCTGATGACTTCATACAGATACAGATCCAGAGATACAGAGTGGTTCATTTCGAAAGAACCACCCTGTATCTCCGATTCTCAATCCCACGGAAATTACAAAACATATTTATTTTTTACACCCCCGCCTGGCACAACTACAGTCACTGCCCTGTACAAGTCTGGGGATCTCAGGTTTAAAGGACTGATCTGATGTATAAATTTAACAATACCTAGCTATATGGACATAGTCCAAATGCCGTAACAATGACATAATGCAACAGGGTGACGTCTGGGTCAAGATTTCACAAAGATCCAGGCATTAAACTTTGTTTGTTGTGTGGGAGAGAAAGTTTACCTCCTCCTCACTACCTGATCTTTAATGCTCTGTTCTTTAAAGACGTCTTTATGCAAGATTACAAGCCAAGACATGACATCAGGGTAGCATCATAAGTGCATGTTATTGATCTTTGTTTTGTGCCCCCCCTTTGTTTCTGCCAGGTGCATATGGAGTGGTGCTTAAGTGCAGACACAAGGTAAGGATTTCCTCTGATCTTGCTGTCATTTGTAAGATAGGATAAAATCAAATTCCCATACAGGTTAAAAGAAAATTTATCGGAGAAGAAGAACATGTTGACTTGGTTTTTGTTCAGTTTTAAGGCTGAATATCAATGATCCTCAGCATCTACATGAAGGGAGGCCATAAAAACAATCTTTGTGTTCGTTTGCGGTCTTCACAGTTAGTCTTCAGACTTTGTGTGGTGGAATAGGTAGACTGTTTTAAGTATTAAAAATAATCAATTCCTCTTGTTGTTTCCAGGCTTTGTGTGCATGCAATTTTCCCTGATTATCTCTCAAAACAGCAATGTTTATGTCGAGTGCATTGGATAGACGGCTTATGTTTCCGAAGAAAGGATCACTGCATTTAAAATATTTAAAGCTTTAAAACCTGCTTGAGCAAATCAGTGGCAAAAACAGGAGACGTTGTCTATGTGTAAAACATTTATACACACTCTGAATATTTCATATGCACAACTGAACAGAAAGGAATTGGGTTAATGGCAGATTTCTGATAATATGACAACCACCTGTTTTGATGGCTTCATTAACTTACAGATGTTGAGTAAGACTTTAATCTGACTAATAGCTGCTGTTGCTGCGCATTTCTGAATCACCGAACGCCCATGTAGTCCTTCTTGCATCTTATTTGTGCTTTACATGTAATTTTATAATTCTCTTTCCAATGCAGTGTGAAAAAGTGACATTTTTTTTTTATAACGACTAGATAAAATATGGCACTGTGAACTCATAAAACAGATTGTTCCACTCTGTTGAGTAATCATATTAAAGGTTAAAATGAGAGGTTTTTCATATTGAGGATGAATCATTGAGTTTGTGTTTGATGACAGATTTGTGTTACTCTACGTCCTTCGGATTATTCTACTTGTACGTTTAAATCATTTAACTTTGCCACAGGCTTTGCATTAGTATGACACAATCTACTATACATAGTGTTGAACATGAACTGTATCGCCAGTATTTTAACAGATGGTATTATATGTTTACAGAATGTAAACATAGGTTAGAGTCTATTTTGTGATATTTTTAGTTAAAATGACCAGGTCTTGGTCAGTCAGAGCTGGTAATATTCAGGTGGAGAGCTGAGGCAAATACATAATAGTGTTTGTACATCATTAATGACCTTTTGCCAATTTCCATACTCTAATTTGTGCACAGAAAACTGAATGGTTACAAGTCAGTACTGACAAACTGAGCCAAATGTATTAATTTAAAAACACACCATTTTTAAAACCTAGAGCACAAAAATATGTGAAGAACAATGCAACTCTTGCTGCAACATTCAAGTAAACTCGAAACTGAAGAAGTATCCTCTTACAAAAAAAATCTCATGAAGTTCACGTGTGACCACATGGGATTTTTTTGTAAGTATCTGAACAACAAATACGTTTTACTGGAACTGTTTGAGCCCCTGTCGTTAGGTCCCGGATTGTTTTGTGGTTTGATTCTAGTTTTTAGGATATTCTGTGTTCCTTGGTCTCTTCCTTTGATAAGATCAGTCTAGTTTCTGTTTTACTTTAGTTCAGTGCTTTCTTTGTGATTCTAGTTTATAGTTATTCTTTATAACTGCAGAATGTAAAGCTTCTTATGCTTCTCATGTCTACTCATTTATGTCCTAGTCCACTGTGCACTCTCCCTCGCCCCCTGTGCCTCTCTCTCTCTCTCTCTCTCTCTCTCTCTCTCTCTCTCTCTCTCTCTCTCTCTCGCCCAGGTACTTGTTCCACATTCACTCTTCCAGCACTTAAACACTTCTGCTGCTCTCACTCTTTACTGGTTCCTCCTGTTGTCTCCCTGTTGATTTCCTGTCATTCTCTTACCATGGATTCCTATTGTTTCTGTGTTGTTGTTGTTGTTTTTTTTCATTAAACATTCATAATCAGCTCTCTGCTTCTGCCGGTCCTGCATTTGTGTCCTACTTCAACCAAATGGAAATGTTGACCTTGGCTTTTTTCTTTCATAATCAGGTGAAAGCTTATGGTTACTCTGAAAATTATGTCTTTATCTTCAGTTTTCTAGTAAATAAATAAAGTTTTCATCAACACTGACCGGTATTTGAGCTGTTCATTACTTTCTACACTAATAAAAACGTATCTTTTTATGCTGCACATGGGCAACATCAAACAGCAAATGTTGTGTTTTTTTTTGTTAAACATACCTCTTGAAATTGTAACTCAAACTTCAAATTCAGCTTCATCAAGCTATAACACATTCTACCTCAGGATTTTATAATATTTTAGCTAGTTTAAGATGTTTTCTATTAAATAAAGGGCCACTGTCTTGCTCCCTTAAGCCTATGAAGAATACAGAATATTATTTTTACTTGCCAGCCGTTTAAAATTATTGCGACTCTACAGGAATGTACTTTCATGTTGTCTTTCGTAAGAGCTCTCTGTCTTTGCTTAAAATACATTTTAGTGTTTTGGGGAGGGTTTCCAGTAGTATGCTGCGGCCTGCTTTCAGGGTAAGGTTCATTAGACTGGGGCTGGCTGGGACGTGTTGTGAATGTCCATGACATGCAGCACTATCAAGTTATCAAGTTATTTTGAAGTCTAATTAAAGCCCTTACCAGACTAATATGCTACAAGCTACTTTCTGCAGGCTACATCTCTTTTAGTCTCATCATGGCGTTTACTTTCACACCAAATCACTCTCAAGATCAAACCGGCCACGCTCTTCCTCTGGCTTTTTTAAGTGGTAATAATTGTTCAGTGTTGATAAAATTGATCATTATCCGTATGTCCAGTTGCTTTACATGACTGTAATATAGCTCACTGCTAAGCATGATGCATTTTTAAGGAGTTGATATTTTATCATCTGCCACTGATTTGTTCTACACAAAACAGATGCACCATCAATATGCTCATATATGTCATGCAATATGCACCAAGCCAACCAAAGGCGTCACCATGCAGCGTTATCTATTGTTTATTAAAGAAAAATAATAGTATAGCGTCAAGCTTACCAGATCCTTAAGATTTGTAATGCTGGCCTCTAGTTTTTCTAGTACAACTGAATGTAACCTGGTCTAGATAATCATGTTGTGGTTTGGATACTGGGAAAGACATTTCTTGCTCTGGGCGGTTGCACCAATCAGCTTCTAGAGCTGTCAGTAATGGAGTGCTATGTTCATTTTCCTCAGCTGTTTGTCTCCAGTATTGCTCAGACTTAGGTTTGTCTATCATGATGGTTTAAGCTTCTCTAGAGAACCTTATTAGACTTCCAGACTTTGTCTGGCTGTATCCTGGCAAATCGGTTGTTTTTCTTTTCATGGAGTTTTCTGTTTCTCTATAATTGCTGACCGACTTTTTTTCCATGTGGTCCTAATCTTGGCTTTCAGCCTACTTCTTCCTGGGGTAATGCCATGATGTTGATGGCTTGGTACCCTATAATTAAACCTCATGTATTTGCACGCTTTGAAGCTGGCCCTAAATAGTCTCATCTACAACAAAGACCTTAAAGCCACAGCACTTGTCCATCACTCAAAGCTTCCACACTAATAATTAGGCATAGCTTTAAGTCTTATTACAGTTCAGAAAGGAGAACTGAACATTGCCATGACAGGAAAATTGACCATTGAGAACAAATATATTCATGATGCTTTGCTGTAAACATGTCAAACGAGGATGGCTTTGGATTGGTGCGCCTGACAAACGGGAAAAGAAAACACCTCTGATAATCTTTTCTCTTAGACAAACATAACTACAGGGAGTAAAATCACAGAATTAGACATACATTTATTTACAGCGAGCAAGAGATTCATCATTTATCAGCTCTTGGGCAGTGTGAGTACACAGTAAGCCATGTAATTTCAGTTCAGTTCAGTGTATCAGTGTAGGGATGTAACGATATCTATAACTCAGAGGACGAAACCCGATACTGAGGTCGCAGGTTTAAATATTACTTTCAAAAAAACTTCAAAGATCAAATTTATGCTTCAAACAAAGGCCTTTTTTCTGCATTTTATTCTACCTCTTTCAGCATCTGAATGACTTGCATTGCTTGCACATTGTTCATGTCTTTTTCCCTGTGTTGCCATTTATCTTTGTGACTGGAAACCCAAAGATTTAGCAGCTCTGTTTGTGGAGGACTGATGCTGCTCTCAGGGATAAAATGAGATTAGCACATAAATAAATAAAAGCTATGCAAAAATACAAATATAGCAATGTATTGTTCAGTTTAATAGTACACCACAAAAGTTATATTTAGAATTTATTATCAAATTTTCAAAATAATAAAATTTGGACAAACAGATTGTAAAAACTTGAGCTAGTCAAGTGGCTCTTCAGAAGAATGAATTGCTCATCTCTGGTTTACTGTCACAGTTTTTTGGATTTTTGACTTTTGGTTTGCGATTGTTGGCTCATGCTTCATAGTTTCTGCCATATTTTTTTCCTTTAGGCCTTTTTTATAGTTTATTGTCGTTCTTGCATATCTATGTTAATTCATTTTGTTTATTTCTGTTGTTTTCTGCTGTGTTTTATTTCAATTCGGGTCTAGCCATACATTGTTCAGTCCCCTGTCTTTATTGATGCTGATAAAGTCTGGCCCTACAAGTTTATTCATTTTGTTCTTTGTGCATTTCTCTGTAGCTTGCTTAGATTTTTGTTTCTTTGGTTTATTATGTCCTCTTTACTTTCTCTCGTGTAATTAGTCTGTCTCCCATTTGTTTCTATTATATTCATCCTCTCCAGTAATCTTCGCTCATGCCATTCACCTAAACTGCTTCATCGTCATCATCATCATCCACTGATCCATCAGTGTATAAGCTCTTGATTTTAATGCCGGATTCTCGGTTTTCGTGCCCTGATTCTTATGTAGTTCGAAGCTCTGTTCTGTGTCCCAGTTTCTCTGACAGTTCCTGAGCATTGTAAGTTTAGTTTCTTAAATCTTTTTATGATCTCCCCACGTCAGTGGCTGTCTGCACATTGGCTCTGTTTCATCACCTCTAAAGATGACA